AGTTTTAATTATTATTTAAACATATTAAAAAGTTTTACGCTCATTATTAATAGAGATTAAAACTAAATATTTTTTTGTTTCGAAGTTGAAATCAAGGCATATTCACTACCGTAAGTCAGTTAAAAATTTTCCATATTATTCGTTATTTCTTATTTTATTCAAAGTTTTTGGTGAAATTCCAAATTTTCTCTCAAACCGTATACTTTTTTTTAGTGTAGATAGTATTTATTTACCTCATGATATGCTGCAAAACCTAATTAATCACGAATTTCTAATTTTATGTACTCTTGTCTCCGATTGTACCTCCCAAACATCTTTAAATAAATAAAAGTAAATTTGACTATGCATTTTTATTTTATTTTAATTATTTAATTCGACTTCTACTATTTTATTCAAAAGTGAGCATACAAGGCCCCGTTTACACTTTGATTAGTGATTAGACAAGTTCATACATTTTCTGCGAGATTTCCAGGGGGGGGGGGCAGTTGCCCTCCACTACCCCCAGTGTACGCCCATGGACTAGACCTTCATGCCTGAGAAGGTATCCTACCAACCTATCTCGCCTATTTCTTATTGATTTCCATAAAGTCCTCTGTTCTCTTATTCTTGTTAATACCTCATTAATTTCTCTCAATTTTCTTCAATTAATCACTAATAAATTTTTATAACTGAATACTAATTTCTGGATAAACTTATCAGATGTGCAAAAGTTTGAATAGCACAATGAGAACAGAAAACTTCTTAGAATAACATTGGTCATAATTTTTCCGAAAAAACTCGGATTCGTCACATTTTATATTTAAGTGCTAATGTTTTATGTGGAACTTGGTTATATCTGCATCGCTAATAACGACAATTAGTAAAATACTCAAATCAATACATACTAAAAATTTTGACAATAACGACAACAAACTCGGGTAAAACATCCTATTTTTAAAGTACAGTGGAACTTGGTTGTAACAACAGCGATTACTACGGTAACTCTGATGTAACGTCAGTTATTCAATAGTCCGATAATAAATTAGCCAGTTAAGCCCATACTAAATATACCGGTAATAACTACAACAAAATAGAATAAATCGTACATATTTTTATTGCTACAGATAGATACTTGAAAGGGTCCTATTATTCCCGATATTTTCAACCGTCGGTACTTTGGTCGGAAAAAAGAAAAGTTGTCCCCAAAATGTGCCTCTGAAATTACTAACTTTATCTAACAAATTCGCAATTTGCAATCTTCCGTTAATAACGACACTTAGTGATTACGTCAAAATATAGCGGATCCCTACGGGCGAGTTAATACCATGTTCTACAGTAATATCGAGGTAGACGGGAGCTAGAAGTTAGTTATGTGGAAAACTACAGCTACAGAGAAAATTTTCTTTCAAGTAAGGTAGCCACAGAAACGGCAAAATGACGCAAATAACCTAAATACTAACACATTTCAGCAAATTTGACGGTAATATATTCGGCCCATTAGAAATTGGGAATACATATAGAGTAAAAGTTTTGTATCTTTTTTATGTTACTTACTAGTGACCCGCCCCAGCTTCGCACGGGTGCAATGCTCATACTAAATATATTTTTGTTTTGTTTAGATTATTATCGAAAAGGGGAAATCTTCAAAAGATACCCCCTGAACATACTAAATATACTACAGAATGTCTTTATATGCAACATTCATAGTTTTTTTGTCATTAGACAATACAAACCGGCCTCCCGGCCGGTACCGCCGCAACCGCNATGAAACAGAATGGTGAGACGGTTTACCATCTTCTCTCACCCTGTGA